CCCGACAATAGCGCACTTTTCAATTTCCCCCCACTTGCAGTGTCAGTTCCCGACATGTACGATGGCTGAATGTGTGTGTACGTGCTATGGTGCAGGGCTCAAGCCAAAGGGCTACGAGGGCATGTTCAACACGGTGCGGACGGAGGTGAAACAGCTGAAGGAGCAGGGCACCTGGGAGGAGCCGACAGATGACATGCGGCAGAAGGCCGACAAGGAAGCCAGGGAGAAGGCCTTGGCAATCTTTGGGCGCATCAAGCAGAAGGCGGGTTTCGTGGACAAGAAGAAGGATGGTGGGTTTCTGGGATGGGCTGGGAGGAGGGTTGACTGGATGGATGGAAAGACTCATAGTGTGCGGGACATTCACAGCGGTTTTACACTCTTGTAAGCACGATTTTGATCCCTACAATGTGATCATGATTTGCAGACACAGAGCAGGGCGGCAATGCAGCTGCCGCCGAAACACCAGCTGGTGCCGAAGAGGTAGCCCCTGTCCAAGTTCCACGACAGCAAGAGCAGCAGAACCCCGCCAACCCGCCGACCAGTGATGAGGGTGACGGGACAGCTGCAGAGATGGGTGAGAACCCCACTACGGAGGAGGGAGAGGTGGTGGAACGAAAGAATCCCCGTGGCAGGAAGCCGGCAGGAAGCCGACAATCAGCTGGCTGTAGGAAGCGAAAGGAACCACCCCCAGCTGAGGCTGGTGCAGAGCAGGCAAAGACCAGCCGCCGCCGTCGAGGGTCAGCTGATCCACGGATAGGCAGTGAGTGAAGTAAGTTGTGCTCTCAGGGTTTTGGTTTTGGGTTTTGTTCAGAGTTGGGCACTAGCTAATGTTAAAACCCTGCAGCTGATATGTGTATTGCCACCTATAGCTATCCTCCCGGTTTCTGTCGTATGACAGTTATTAAGCATAACCTAAAATTTTGCCATTTCTTTTCCGTGCATGCAAAACAGGTCTGGACTCTAGAGTCCCCGTGGTGGGAGACCTCGGATTAATCAAATATCGGAGAAATATTTGATTATCCAATATTTTATTATCGGAGTCAGGAACTCATTTAGTGAGACATGTGTATGGAGCCGTACATCAGATCATACGGAACTGAATCTGGGGGCTGGGTCTGATTTCCTTTCTCTTGATATGATGACGTTGGTGTAATTAGCGAGTTTATACACACCCCGAGCCTGGGGCCATGGGCGGGCTCTTCAGCCCTGCAAGGCTTGTGTTGGTGAGGCAATCTTTACAATTGTACACTCGAAGTGTTTGGTGAACATGTATGTTTGTATGTGTAGACATGTGAGCTTGATACAGGCATATGCATGGATGGAAGTGTATAGAGAGGCTTGCAAATATTTTTTTACATAGGCGAAATAGGCATACGTGCTCACATAGATGGATGAGACAGCTGTGATAGCATGTGTAGGCAGGTTGGACAGGGACATACTTACAATCCATTGACACCAGCATATGGCCCGGCATTCGGACAAGGAACACTTGTAAACACGGGTTACCCTGTCTGTTACCCCTCAGTACAATATTACCCCGACCCCTTTGTTACCCCTTGGTAAGGGGCTACCCCTACCCCTTTGTTACCCCTTGGTAAGGAGTTACCCCTACCCCGGGGTTAGGTTACCCACCCCCCTTCGTACATAGCCACATGGGTAACCACTTACCCCTACCCTTACCCCTACCCCTAACCCCTGGGTTATGCTTAAGGGGGGGTTACCCCTCGTTTTATGCCATAGGGCATGTTCACCACCACTAGTGGGCAGCAGTCCTATGCTGAAGATCCTCTGCAGCCTGGGCTGCCACCACCCTGGTTTGCAGGTGGGCCACAGGTGGCCCAGCCGCAGCCTGTGTTCACCACCACTAAGGGGCAGCAACTCTGCTCTCCCATGGCTACTTTGGGCTTGAGCATCATCATCAGAGGGCTTGCTCCATAGCACCAGCGACTTCTTGTGCCCACTGTAGATGAAGTCAGTCAGTTCCACACTGGTGGTGATCACCACATAGTTGGAGGGGCCACCAGATTTCTGCTCAGGAATCAAGTCAAGCAAGGGCAAGAGCTTAGCCTATATAGTGTGCATGCCAGACCTCTGAAGTGGAAAGGAATAGTATGCACATCATCATACACACTCATCTATGCCTCCCTCCAGTTAAAAACCCAAGGACCCAAAATGACTCTAAACCCTTGTCACCACCACTCTGGATGATTACTGACCTTGTATCGGAGGTCGTTAAAATTGCAGCCCTTGATAAATGCATCTTTCTCGCATGCCTCTACAAGCTTCTGCAGAGAGGCCTTGCCGTCAGTGTTGCTGCTGATCTTCACGAAGCGCATGGGCCATGCTGCAAATGATTCACCCTTCAATTGCTTCTTCACTTAAAACTCTATGAAGTCGTCCTCCTTGCCCCTGCTGTCGCTGGTGCCACCATTGGATCCACCATCAGTGAATGTGGGCTGGGGCTGGGCTGCCTGCAGCTCAGGCTGCTTAGGATGTGCAGCGTAGGGCTGCTGCCTGCTGGTGGAGATGAAAATGGGCTGCCGCTGGTGGCAGCCCAGGCTGCAGAGGATCTGCAGCATAGGACTGCTGCCCACCAGTGGTGGTGAATATGGGCTGCAGCTGGGCCACCTGCGGCCCACCCTACAAACACGGAGGGGGGTTAAGAAACTTAGGAGAATGCTTAAGAATGATAAGAACGACGGAAGAACATGGAGGAGGCGGGTGTGCATTCTTAAACATTCTTACACTGGTATTAAGCGGTTTTATGTAAGTATGTCATATAAGTATGCATTAAGAATGCATCAACCATGAAAACATTCTGTAATGAATGCCTGATGGAGCTCTTATA